CACGTGGAGTTTGAGTGGCAGGCTTCTATTCTTAAGAAAAGATGATAGTCACATGCCGTGTTCGAGTCTATATCCGATATGTGAATATTGTGGAATCATGTCGTAAAATTAGTGGATAATCACCCCTGAAATTGCACCCCTAACAAAGATTAATGAGAAAAATTGACATTTTCCTCTTAATGGGAGTCATTTTTTTTCTCTTTATATTTTATCTTTTATAATGTTCCATCAAGCACAGGGAAAGGCGGAGGATCGTTACCATTTGCTTTTAAAAAGCACCTAATTCAGTAGAAGTGATTCATTTGAAGACGTTCTGGGTGACTTTTTATAGATAGCAGTTGGCAGCTAGATCATCAGATGGCAGGCAGTAGCTATAGATCGTTATAGTATGAATATCTTGTTACTCTCGTGCTGTTGCTTCAAACTGCAAGCTGTAAGCAGGTCTGTATCCTGCAGCACAGGCCACGAACTTAGTTGAAAAGAGGGAATGAGATATTTTAATCTCAATATCACAACAAATCGTCACCTCGATGCTAGTATCATTACTCAATAGTCTCGGTTCGTGCCACTTGTGAAAAACTGGGATTACTTGAACAGAAAAAGTCTAACAACCTGGGTAAACATTCATTTCGGCAACGCTTTTTTTTTCCAATAACGAGGAAAAGATGAATTGAAATCTGATAAAAGTGAAGAGGGCAAACGAATATACAATCTAGAATCTTGCTGTTAGTTCATGATTGCGCCTAAGAAATATTTAGAGGTTCATCTTGACCTTAAATGATAGAAATTCATATGGTTGCATGAACTCAGTAATACCTCCCCGTTATTGGGCATTTTCATGATCGATTAATTTTTTGATCAATTTTTTTTGGAAGGACACAACAGTTATTAGACCGCAATGCGTCAAAAAGCAAACAAAACGGTTATTAGAGCTCATTGCGTCAAACAAGCAAACAAAAGCAGTATATCGCCGATATTATAGCACTTCTAAAAGCAAATATTATACCTCTTCTTGCTTTTCAATTTAAGATGACGAAGGATCAAAAATAAGTTCAGACGTCAGCTCTACTTATAAATATTCTATAGCAGTGCAACAGCTAAACTTCGCCCACATGCAAGAGTAAGAGTATTTAAGAAATTCTATCTCTCTACACCCGCTACTCTCCGCCAAGGGGTTCTCCGCAGAAGACATACCCAAGGTAGGAAAACTCTTTGTTCCACCTCGAATAAATTTTCAACTCAATCTTCATCAGCTCTGACCGAAGGTACGGCAATAGTTATTAGTTTTTCTTATCTGTTTTTCGGTCTGTTTTCTTGAACTGGTGGCTGTTTGCTCTTACAACTCGAAGGGCTCTCTTGATGACCCTTTTCCAAAGGGGAAGAGATATACTGCAGGATAATGGGACCACGATTGTTTTAAATGGGATAGAGTTGTAAACGCAGGGTGTTCGTTATATTTTTAGTTAAATTTAAAGGTAGTGTAAGGATTGAAGGATAAGAGAAAATTGCATAAGTTGTCTTCAACCTATGACGTCATATCTATGAGAAGAAAATGAAATTTTAAGTTGACATCGCCAATAATTTTTTATACAAAAGAAACGGAAACGGAACGATTCATTCCTCTTAATGTTTTTGTTTTATGTGAATTTCGGAGGACAGAAAAAAAATCTCATGAGAACATGAATGCTGAAAAGGGAAAAAGGGAAGACGCTTCAGAGATAGTCCTTGTTGACAATTAAAAGCTCTCGAAACCCCATTACATTTCAAGCTTGAAAATGATCTTGACAGCGTAAGAAAGTTCATAGGAGAAATATAATTTCCTCTCCCCTTCCCCTCCCCCCTACCTTTTCCTCTTTCCCTCGCTGTCTCTTCCTCGCATGTAAATTCTGTCTAAGTGTTAATAGTGATAGCATCGTGGCACAATAATACAAGCGTGAAAGTTATAGCACTCTAACAATACTAAGAACTCTTGTGCGTTATCTTAATCTGTTTACAGGTGTAGAGTGAGAAGCAACTCAGACGTAAAATGCGAGAAACAAGGTACAGTTTACTGTTATGGGTAATTGTTGTTGCTTCTAGAAATCTCCAGACTGCTGAGTCATGCTGACTTACATACCATAGAACTTTCCAGAACATTTCATCGAGTCACGCATTTATTAGGTGATATCACTAAAAATAGCTCTTACGTAAGCTTCTGGAATGTTCCAGAACACTTTGTGAATATATAGATATATATATGTGTGTGTGTGTGTGTGTGTAATAGTGTAGTTTGATCGTCTGGGTGAGTGTAGTCCTGAGAAGGACTGTTGTCGGTAATGGTGACTGACGTTTCGACAACCTGAGTGGAAATCATCATCAGAGTCAAGTGAAAGGTTGTTGTCAGTCGAATGTACTTAGTTCGGTTTGTGTAAACTAATTGGTCAGTTTTGCCGTGATGTTATTGGCTGTAAGACTCAAGTGGCGTGGGTCAGTCGTGACTGTTCGGTTCGTTTGTAATGTTAATGTCGTGAATGAGTCGTTTGTATGGTTCCGGTAGTGGTTGACACGTGTTGAGGGGAGTCTGTTCCAAGTTAGTAGACCAGCTTTCCAGGGTCAATCGTTGAAAGTAGTTGGTGCTGTAGTTTAGGCATTGCGCAGAGTCCCAGTCAATAGTGTGGTTCGTAAGTCGGTGATGTTCAGAAATGTGATTGTCGACATCGCCTTTCCTCGTTGCTCGTTTGTGTTCAGTCAGTCTAGCTGTGAGGTTTCTGCCAGTCTCACCGATGTAGGAGGCGTGGCAGTCGGAGAAATTGATCTTATATACTGCTCCTTGTCTGTTCTTCGGTTTGTCTCTGTCTTTAATGTTAGTCAGTAACTGACGTAATGTTGTAATAGGTTTGTGAGCGACGCGGATATTGAATGGTTGTTGAATG